GCCAGATCCAGTGCAGATTATCATCTCCGTCTGCTTCCTTGTGTCAAGAACCGTTCAAGTGCTAGTTTATTAAATTTAGCCTTATGCAATCTAGTAAACTAATAGAGCACAACAAACAGTGATCTGAAAAAGTAGCGCAAAACACGCTTTCCTCATACATAACGCAAAAAATACTCTTGCCAGTCCAGTGACTAAGCAATATCGACGTTTCGGTCAATTCCTCACGTACCTTCTTCAAGATAGGTTGGTTGGTCATCCGCAGCAGTCGATTGTTTTAGAGCCAGAAAGCCAGCTTCCGGTGTTGCTGGCTAAATAATTTTAGGACTTCAAGGGAAATGAGGCTCATTTAATCCGTGCAGAGCTCGCATCTTTTGTGAGGGTTGAACGATTAATGACTTTTTATCTGCCTGTGTAGCCAATCCAACGTTTTTCTTTGATGATGCCACTACAATCAGATCATCGGACGGAGTGTCGTTGAGCTTTGTTTTCTTCGCTGCCGCCCCTCCGAGATCATCCATCTTCCCCAGTTTAAGAGGCGGGTCTTTGTTCTCTGAGTGATGGTGTTCGCTGTTTCTCGTGTGTGATATTTCCCGCAGTTACATTGTAATTTGCAAACTCAGCCTAGGAAGTTAGTATTCTCAGAATTATTTAATAATGCACTAAGTTTATTAGAGACTTTTCTGTAGCATTAATATTACATTTTGGGTTAAGCAATCTTCGTAATTTTTCACTAAAAATTTTATGTTACGGTAGAATTGAGTAAGGTTTGTTATTAGTCTGGTTACTGTTACAAATAGATTTGAAGTGGCTTATTCTACGGTTTGTGATGTTATTAACGCATTTAGTTGGACAATCATTGTTATTGTGTAAGGCTAATTTAAAACACTTTATTTCGTCTTTATGAAATTCATTACTACAGAGTTTCAAGGCTCTTTCCATTAAAGGATAATCAAAGAACGTTTATTGTTTAAATGATTATGTGATTAAGGTTTAGTTATTTGTCAATGTTACTAGATGTATGATAAACTTTAGTAATAGCAGTTACTGAAGTTAATTATTAAGGCGTCAAGAAATGGTCGACTGGAATTGTTTTTTCTTTTAATAGTTAGCTCGATATTTTGAGAAAATAGTTTATTGAGGAATACTGTTTTCGCTACCACCGGGAGAGATGGCAATGATGTCGTCAGCATATGTTTCGAAAACTTGGGAAAAAGTCTGAGTTCGTGTTTTGAGCCACATTTTCAAAGTGCTCCATGAAAATTTCAGCGAGGATGGGCGAAAGTGGGTTACTCATGGGTGCTCTTATCGTTTGTTTGAAGAAACTAATATCGAAAGGGAAATAATTCGCCTCTACCATACAGGAAATTGACAGAGAGGTTAGCCATTGTGCAATTGAGTTATTCCCTTGAAGAAGTTCACCAATTAATTTAATAATAAGATTTACATATAAGTTAGTAAATAGGTCTTTAACGTCGCAAATGGCCATAAGGTTACTTTCAGAGGGCCTAACCTCTTTCAGTTCTTGAAAAACCTCGTGGGAGCTTTTGGTGTTAGATGGGTTACATCCAGTTAAGAGTCTGAGTATTTTAGCGGTCAATTTCGAAAACTCTGTGAAAAATAATTCAAAGTAAAGTCAACAGGTCTGAAGCGAATATTACTTTGATGTAT